GGGAATGAAACAAGGAAACAGGTCTGTTGGCTTGTTTGAGGTTTAATGTAAATTAAATATTTTTGTTGTTATGAATACCTCTTTCATATACATCATAGGGAATGAAGGTTGTGGACTATCAGTAAGCTCAGATAAATATTCGTGCTCATAAACACTGTATAATAACGTGACAGAAAAAGTCTTTGGTATGTAGAAAAATTGAAGCTTTATTTAAAAAATAAATCCAATAGTATCATTGTTACCAAGGCTATTGCAGGGGCCTAAGCAAAATGTTATTATTTTTTGGCTTCAAAACTATATATATTTGGCTTTTCATTATCTATAAAAATTATCACTCTTTCCTGGATTTGGCTATTATTAAAAAAATTTTAAAGGTGTTCTTTAAAGAAAAAAAAGACTGTCATTATAGTGTGGCAAATTCGCCTCCTCTTCTCCATGACAACAGATAAAGAAGCTGTAGCTATGGCAACAGTAATGGGCCAGAGAGATTAGGGCCAGACTGGAGATTAGGCCTCCAAGAGCAAAGAAAAGAAGTCCTGATTGGTTCTTTATTGAGACTTTATTTGAAGGCAAGTTACTGTTGAGAGAAAGCATGGAGGATTAGTAAGAACAAAATTAATTCCCCTGTATAAGATAAGAAGCCATTCCTTTGCTAAAACTGTGTTCCTCCCTTTTAATATAACGCCTGTTTAAATTGAGGTAAAGAGTCCGTGATTAATTCTATTCTGAGCTTTGTGCCATGTGAGTCTAGACCAGCTCTGTGAGAAGACACTCCCTGAAGTCTAAGGAGAAGACAGGGAGGATCATCTGCCTGCTTGCCATTGCCCCTTGCCCTCCTCTCTGGCACTCCCTGGGTGGATGGAGATGCCAACTAGTTTGTGATGTTGACATCCTGTAGGAATGAGGTGCTCTTGGAGGAACAAGATTGGAAAATTTCCCTTGTTTGTATAAAACTTATTTGTCTAACTTCTTGAAAATTCCAGAAAGCTTTCATCAAGTTATTATTAATTATATATTTAAAAATATTTTTCTCAAAAATCTAGTAAGGATCCCATTTTTTAATAACTGGTAAGTTATAGAGGTATTAAATTTTGAGTAAATGTACTATCTATAATTTCAGATTGATATACTGATGAAGGAGGGATTTTTTATTTTTTAAATAATAAATTTATAGGAATGAGAATGTTTGGCCTAATGCTTTGAATTTTTTTAAAAGGATTTTGCCACATTTACTTCTGAACATGTAGTGCTCACACACACTTCAAAAGAGAGCCTGTGAGAGTGCCACACCCTGGCCGACGTGAGATATTCACCTTCTTTAAAGTGGCCTCTGATTTTTTTTCAGGCTTTACTTTAATGTGTATTTCTTGCCTTATTTGTCAAGTTGAACCCCACTTTTCAATAAGATGATTTATTATTTTAAAGATTTAAAAACATGCTTTTTAATATTATGTCACTTGGTTTTTATATATTTTCCAAATACTCTCAGTCAGTCTTTCCACGGGAAACAATACCTCAACTAAACCAAGAGGGAAAGTAGGAGTTAGGCAGATGAGTGCGAGGGGTTGGTTAAGGTGTGGGATCTGCTTTTGTGAAGGCCCTAGAGAATTGCAGGATGCTCAGCATGAGGAGAACATTCTTAATGTAGAAGCATCAAGAAGCCAAGGAGCTTCCACATAAGCACCATGAGAACAATGGCTTCGTCTGCTGTTCCCCACTCTCTCCTCTGCACTTAGACAAGGAGGACAGGTGATCTGAGCTGTTTGAATATTTGCTGAGTGAGCAGAGCTACTGATCATTGCTAACTGCACCTCTGCAAGCCTCTGCCCAAAGGTATTTTCTGTCTTGCTGTAGGAACACACTAGACCGTTGTTTAGGAAAGTCATAAGCCCCTGGAATCACCCTCAACAAATGATGGAGGAGGAGTAGGTAGACAAATACCCCTATCTGCTCCCCTGAGGGATGATTAACTCTGAGGCATGTCCTATACTGACTCTCAGAGTCCCTGATGGAATTGCCCTTCAGTTTCCCACAGGAATAACCATATAGATAACCCACTCTTCCGATAGGTCCCTCCCTGCCCTGTCTCACTTCCTGACTCCCTGCTGGTGTTTCTGGGATCATTTCCCAAATGTAGGACTTGCACGAAAGTCCTTTTCTGAAGCCTTGTTTATGGAAAAGTCACCCAAGACCCATGGTCAGCAGGAGTCAGGCCAGCAAGCTAATTAAGAAGTTTGGAGCTTGCCCTGAAGAGGATGTGTGGAGGAAAAATAAGTAGTAGAGTGACATGATTTATACTTTTATAAGCTCATTCTGGATGCTACACAGAGAATATATTTGAGGAAGGTGATTTTAAGGAAGTCAGAGGAGCTGGGGAACACTTGTGGTAATTCCAGTGAGAGAGAACGATGATGTCAATGGAAGCGTGGCGATGGAGATGCAATAGCGTGGGTAGATTAATGAGATTTTCAGGAGCAGGGAACCCTAGCATGCAGTGAGTGAAGGAGAGTCAGGAATTAGGGATGGGCTTCGGGTTTCTGGGCTGCGCAGTTGAGAGGACAACTTGAATATCACCCAGGGGGAGAAGCAGGCTGAGGGGGCGGGAGAGAATAAATTCACTCCGTTGTGTTAGTCTGAGCTGCCTGTGATTTGTGGAAGTAAAGGTTTTTGTCAAGAAGCTTAATATCACCCATATTTTTGAGAGAGATACTCCATCCCCAGGCATCAATCTTTTCCCCTCCCTCACCACTCTGCTATAAAAGATTGACTAACTCACTGCCACTCTTCCATTTTTTTCAAATACTGTACTGATCCGGAGAGCAAGGCGAAATTTTATCTACAAAGAAATAGTCAAAGAATCTGGAGTCAGAAATAGCTTCAAATACTTTTGTTTTTTTTGCGATTCTTTAAAACCTCTCTTTCTCTGTATAACTAGTAAGAATTGTAAATTGATAAGATTTCTGGAACTATTAGGAAACGGCGTATTTCCACTCCCCAGATGATTTTTTCTAGCTAGCAGAAGTTTAACTCATCGCAGTAATACCACTCAGCCAGTCCCTATACAAAGTGAATGCAAAAATGAAGACTAACTTTGATAAAGACTAGGGAAAATGGACTACAAAAGCCAGTTTGAACATTTCACATCTGCAAATGGATACCTGTGATTTGTGACTAGAGATCATCTGTCAAGATGAAACACATATTCCCTAGACTTGAGAACTTTAACAAACTTGAAGAAAACAGAGTTATTGCAGGAAAGATGAATTACGAATTCACACACACCCAAGCAGACACACACTACAAAATACACATGCACATATGTAATAGAAAAACCTCTTTTACATATTACTAATTCTCCCAATATGTGAAAAGACAGTTTTTTAATTGAGGATAATTCAGAGTTGTTCCTACAAACAAGTCCATGAAAATTGCTTCTACTTTTTGTTAACTTTCATCAACTTTTCATTTCTGCTCTTAATTTTCTATGGTCTTAAAAAATACATGAATAACTACTTCAAATTGTTTCTGAACAGGCTGAGAGAGGTGGTTCATGCCAGTAATCCCAGTACTTTGGAAGGCCAGGACAGGTGGATCATCTGAGGTCAGGAGATCAAGACCAGCCTGGCCAACACAGTGAAACCCTGTCTCTACCAAAAATACAAAAATTAGCCAGGTGTGGTGGTGTGTGCCTGTAATCCCATCTACTCAGGAGGCTGAAGCAGAAAAATTGTATCAGAACAGTGTAGACATGTAGACAGATACTGATAGGAATAAGGTTTTGTGATAACTTTTTGGTTACCTGAAGCATTTATGAATACAGGTAAGTCCATGGCTATGTAATACAATGTTGAAGTCTCCATTGGCTTAACTTCCAAATTAGTGCTTTACTAAACTCAGTGTCAGTGTATGTACACCTACTTGGTCTGTGTCTTTTGTACTATGAAACATATTTTAACTATGAAATGAATATTTTAAAGAATCACCTTGGGGCCAGACATGGTGGCCCATGCCTGTAATCCCAGTACTTTGGGAGGCCGAGGTGGGTGGATCACTTGAGGTCAGGAGTTCAACACAGCCTGGCCAACATGTCAAAACCCCGTCTTTACTAAAAATACAAAAATTAGCCAGGCATGGGGGCATGTGCCTGTAATCCCAGCTACTGCAGAGCCTGAGGCAGGAGAATCACTTGAACCTGGAGGCAGAGGTTTGAAATCATGTGACCTTACTGTATATTAAAACTATATGATCACATTTTTTTTCTACAGTAATAACTGCCCCCAACCTTGTAAAATCCTGGAGATTGTGGCCCTCTTAGTTCTTCTTAGAACTCTTCAAAATGCCAATAGGTTATCTTTGACAAATAGTCACTGTAAATTTAGATTTCTATTTAGTATATCTCGAGTTAATCTTCTGAAATGTAATACTGTCTTTTACTTCAAATATAGATGCATGAGTTTATTCATTTATTCGTTTATCCATATTCTTGCTTATTCAACCTCTGCTTCATTCCAGAAACAATTCAGGGAAATATTAATTACTTAAAATAATTTGTCTCTTACCAAAGACATTTTCTACTATCAGTTAATGTCATGAGAAGTGTAATCCTTTTACAATATTGAATCATATTATCCACAGTTCTGAAGTAAGGTTTTTCTAGAACTCAAGTGCTTGTTAAAAATTCACATTGCCAAATTTCTCTCCCCTTTTCTTGCCTGAGCAGACATTTTTTCCCTGATTGTCATAGATCCCATGGGTAATAGAAATTGGACATATAAGCAGTGGAATCATATACATGTCATTAGCCACACTTTAAAACCCAAGAAAAATGAATATACCTTTTATTCCATTTAATGTGTGCATTCCCTTGGTTTTTTTTCCTTCCTTTAGAATCAAGGTGACTATAACATGGAGATGCTTTCTAATAGGTTGGATATGCCTTCCTACCGAATTCTTACCTATGGCACTGACACCTCTGATAGCCTCCTCTTCTTTCTCCTTAGCTATCCCAAGCTCCAGTGTCCTCCCTTCAGCTCCCAGAGATGTGGTCCCTGTCTTAGTTTCCAGCCGGTTTGTCCGTCTCAGCTGGCGCCCACCTGCAGAAGCGAAAGGGAACGTTCAAACCTTCACGGTCTTTTTCTCCAGAGAAGGTGACAACAGGTAGGTGATGCTACCAATAAAATTCAACTTAATCTGTCATCTCTTTAAGTCAATACCATTGGGTAATGGCAGGAGGAGATCTTGGGCAGGAACTTTGGAGAGACTGTGAAATCTCTATTATGTCCTTCACTCATTTCCCATTGGAGATGTGCATTTTTAAAAAGCAGTGTTGTTGACACACTTGTAATCCCAGCACTTTGGGAGGCTAAGTTGGGTGGATCACCAGAGTTCAGGAGTTCGAGGCCAGGCTGACCAACATGGTGAAACCCTGTCTCTTCTAAAAATACAAAAAAGTAGATGGGCGTGGTGGTGTGCACCTGTTATCCTAGCTACTCGGGAGGATGAGGCAGGAGAATTGCTTGAACATGGGAAGTGGAGGTTGAAGTGAGCCGAGATTTTGCCACTGCACTCCAGCCTGGGCAACAAAGATGCCCCCTATCAAAAAAAAAAAAATGGTGAAGACACAGACATTCCCATATTGCCTTATACTAAGATTATTCATTACTGTGAAGAAACAGGCATTTGTTTTAGTGTTATTTCTGCAACAATTTGTGATCTTATGATGCCTCCTAAGTTCCTTGGATTTCAGCGTGTGCAGCTGTGAAAACTGGAAGCAATGATTCTTGCCCAATCATCTTCATGATTTTCCATGGATTTCCTGGAGGCACCTTAAATTCAACCTGCCCAAAACATACTCACTGTCTTCTCTTTATGTATATTTTTCCTTTCTTTTCTTAGTTTATGTTGGTATCTTCCATCCTCATTGACCAAGCAAAAAATTCATGCCATGTTTTACTGACTGCTGCCTCCCAACACTACATTCCTCATGAATTCTTGTCAGCTTTACCTTGGCCACAGCTCAGCCATGCTTCCTTTATTCTGTTATTTTCAACATCTTTACCTGATCTCTGGGAATTGCTCCTCACCTGCCAATCTATCTTCCTCACTGTTTGTAGTTATCTTTTTGAAATACAGTTTTGATCACTTACTCCACTGCCCCAAAATGTGACTGTTCTTAAATACAATAAAATTACTATACAAAGACATGTACATGGAACTTCAGATTTCTTTCAATGGAAGTCTAGCCCCAGTCTATCCTTATCTATATCTATCTGTATGGATATATGTAAAAGTGTGGTTTCTATAATCTGTAATGGTTAAAAAATTTTCACTCAAGTCACAAGAGCTAGATTTGAAAATGGTCCTATTTATCAAATTGTGATGTTTCTGTGTTTAATAATGTATTAAATACGAATAATACTTTTTTGCTAGAAGGAATAAAAGGAAGATAAATTCTACCTGTTAGCATTGCTATGAGAACTGAGAGAATTCAGGCAAAGAATTCAGGGCAGTCCCTCCACACAGGCAGAATGGAAGGACTCAGAATAGTGTGAGCTCTGAGACAATGTGGAAAAGAAGCTGAAATTAAGGCTCAAAGAGTAGGAAGAAGGAGGATGAGGGAAAGAAAGGGAAGGAGTAGGGGAAGGAGAAATTGTTGAAATTTCTGTTTGAGTGAAACATTTATTTTCATAATTGTTTACAGGCCTGCTTATCATACAGTTTTGTCCTTTCCTCTTCTATTGAACTTCTTCTTATCTTTCAGTTCTAAGCATCAATGTACCCCCTTGGCTACTTGCTCCCATAGTTATACCGTGAACCTTGACAACACCAATCACTGCAACCTCTCATGATCTGAGTTTCAAATCATATTCTTGCCTCACTCTCCAGACTCTTGTCTTAGTATCCTTTATTTAGAACTCTGAATACAACGAAACTTTGATTTCACAGAGACCTGCAATCCGTTGATCCTATCCCTTATCTTTCCTGTTTATCTTCACATATTCCATAGCTACAATTCCATAGCCAGTAAACACAGCAATTAAATACTTGTTCACTTGCATCAACGTTTTGCCTGCTACTCTCATTTCATATTACTTGCTTAGCAAAAACCAACTCAAGTAAATGTAACTTTCTACCTACTCTTTACTTGTTCTCTTGTAGCTGAATATAGCTTGAGGAAAAGGTATAACTGGGATGATTCGTCTCACTTTAAATCCATAGCGACTAATCTCATGTTACCCATTAATGCTACTGGCAATTAAACTACATTTATCAGACAGCTTCTCTCACATACACTACTAATGATATTTCATGCCTTTTTCTCCCTTCTCAAATCTCCAAAACTGCACCCTTTCCGCCACTCTTAGCTGACCTGGATTTTAATTTCATGTAATATAAGAAGGGGAATTCTACATGCTTTCATATGTGACATTATTTTTCACCCACGTGTGTCTTTAAGCATATAATCTGTCTTTCCTCAAATTTCCATAAAACAACTGCCTGTACTCTTTAAAGCCAAACCTTCGCTTGTGCACAAGATCCCATTTTTTCTTATAAAAGAGCAAATCTTCAGCCATTCTTTCTCTCTTCTGTATCATCAGTTCTTCCCCCTAAGGTGAATTACGTCTATCAGCACGTCAGCATGTAGTTGGATCTTCCATTACAACAAATTCTGCTTCAATCTCACTTTTCTTTCCTCTACCACTCCATGCTCTGTTCTCTTTCATAGGAACATTCCTTGAATTGTCTAACTTCACTCCAATATCTTGCATCATATTCCAATAATGATTTTGTCCCTAGAATGTAATAGCAACTGCTCTTATCAAAGTTCAACAATAACCTCCTGTTGCTAACCCAGTAGTCAATTCCTAGTCTTCACATTACTTGAGCAGTCAGCAAATTTTGTCACATTTGATCCTTTTTCCTTTGGTGAGACTCATTCTTCACTCAGTTTTCTATTGCACATGCTCTCCTCATTCTACTCTGGCTGCTTATTTTCAGGCTCTTTTTACTTTTTACTACCAGTTTCTCTGATCTGTACGTATCAAATTGCTTCAGGACTCAAGCCTTTAATCCACTTCTTGACTTTATATTCTGTGAATATGTTGATGTATTCCAAATTTGTATCTCTGGTCCTAACTTTTTTACCTGCAATCCATATTCATATACATATTTTCCTACTTGATTTATCAACGTCAATGTCCCATGGGCATCTAAGACTTATGAACAAAACCAAACACCTGTTATCCTTCAACCCCAATGCCTCCTCACCAAATAGTTTATCATTCCAGAGTTCCCCCCACCTTTGAAATCTTCATATTTCTCATTAATCAGGCCAAAATCATTGGAATATTTCTTAGCTCTTAATTAATTCTTAATTCTTATTAAGGAATCCATCATCAAGTCTTGGCAGTACCATCAAAATATATCTTGAATTCATGAAATAATATACCAGATTTTGTTATAAAATAATACTGGAAGACTGGCTATGATTTTATTCTGAGCTGAGTTATGGGAATAAAGCAATTCATCATATTATTCTGCCTAATTTTATATTGTTTAAATTTTCATGATAAACAATTAAAATCAATAAAGAAATAAAAACAAAACATGGCCAGGCACGGTGGCTCATGCCTGTAATTCCAGCACTTTGGGAGGCCGAGGCAGGTGGATCATCTGAGGTCAAGAGTTTGAGACCAGCCTGGTCAATATGGTGAAACCCCGTTTTCACTAAACATACAAAAATCAGCTGGGCGTGGTGGCATGCACCTGTAATCCTGGCTACTTAGGATGCTGAGGCAGGGGAATTGTTTGAACCTGAGAGGTGGAGGTAGCAGTGAGCCGAGATCATGCCACTGCACTCCAGCCTGGGTGACAAAGCAAGACTCTGCCTCAGAAAAAAATAAAATAAAATAAAAAATAAAAAAATAAAAACAAACAAAACGTATACTGAGTCTTACCACTTCTTACCCCCTCCTTAAGTACAACTAAGTCTTATTGGAACTACTGCAGTAATCTCCTTAGTCTAATCTTACCATAGCAGCTGGAGTAAACCTTTTAAAACATAAGTTAGAGTATGTCATTCTTCTGCTTCAAAACCCTGTGATGACTGTTTGTCTCATTCACAGAATTAGTAGAAGTCCTTGTTCTTGTCTCTTGTTACCTCTCTAACCTCATCACGTAGCACTTTCCTTATGTTTCCTAAATATCCAAGAATCCGCCTCTTTTGAGATCTTTACGCTTGCTCTTCAGTTTGCCTAGGATGTTCTTCTCAGAGATCCACATGGATCATTCCCTAATTTCTACCAAATCTTTGCTGCAATGTCAAATTCTCATGGAAGTCTTTCCTGACCTCTGGCACTCCCTATGTACTTCTTATTCTTATTTTTCTCCATAGCATTTATTACCTTCTACTTACAAATTTTGTTTCCCTAATCCCCTTTCTCCTCACCAGAATGTAATCTTCCTGTGGGCAAGGCTGCTTTATCTTCTTTATCCACTGAGCTATTTTTCGACTTGATGCCTTAACTGAAATGTCAATTACTGTGTGGAACTCTCTATAGTCCTCCAACTCAGAATTCACCAATTTCGCCTTTAGCTCACCCCTTCATTTTGATTACATTACTGTTATGGCCTTTGCCACCTTTAATCAAGTTTGACGTTTGGTTGAGTACATGTGTATTTCTTTTCCTGATGATTGAGACTACATCGTATTCATAATTTCATGCTTAAGTGTCCAGTATCATGCCTCATGTAAACATACACTGATCAGAACTAATATGGTAGAGTAGGCAGAGAGATATGATATTTTTGATAGTTTTTTTTACCAAATAAAATAAATTGTGTTACTGAGGAGGATGAATAAGCTGACTACAGTTAAATAAAAACTTTAATTCCAAAAAAGTCGATATTAAAATTTTATTCTAATATCTCCATTTATTTTGATTTTTCTGACTCTCAACTAGAGCCATAAAATATGCCACTGTCTCTGAGCTGTGATGTTTGTTTGTTCATGTAGGTTTATTTAGCTGCTTGACACAATACCTTTTTAAAAGGTATTGAATTTAACATTTCTCTCAGATTAGCAATAACTTTGTCAGGAAAGTTATTCTAACTCAGATCATCACGAATCTTTCTGACTAGTTAATGGTGTAGATAAT